ACACACACGTACACACACACACGCCTGTGATGTGTGGGCTGCAGTTATAAACGCGGGCACTGCGGTTAATCCGTTGACCGGGTGTACAAGGTCGTAAAAAATTAACATTCTGCATTTATGCACGAGGCACAGCAGCATCTTCATTTAATTTTCAATCTCCCGATAGACCAACCGTGTTGGTCAGGATCTAATGTTAATTAAAGCGGATCTGCACAACACACACAGTAATATTGTAATAACACTGCTAATAATGTTCACAGAAACAGTTTCCTGTACAGGGTTCCTCTGTACACCTGGAAAAATACTGTTTGAATGCTACATGAATTTGATTGATGCGGTATGCAGTGTGTGTTGAATAATGTTCCTCACGTGGTGAAATTGTGTCGTTGATTATTTTGCTTAGACACTATGAGTATACATACATTTAAATCCTAACTAAAATCAGATCAAATCCAGTCAATATTTTCCACTCAAGTCTCACAACTAAACTGCCAAGAAAGATGGCTAAATGTTTACACTGTCAGTGAATCAGTTGATTAATGCCCATAATGCATAAGTTAAAAAGATGAAAAAAACTTTATCTGAGCATTTTCATTACAGGAACATATTCGGACCAGTTCTTGGTTCATCGCCAGCCCAGAATCCACCCGTGTTACCCAGCATGCAGCCTGGCTTTGGAGGTGGTGATAGTGATTACTACTACAGTGACGCATACAGAATGAAAATACATTTTCACATGTATCTGGAAGACTCATTTTGCAACTTACTGCCTGTGTTTCATCTAGCCGTCCCATCTACCAATCCCTTTGTCGCTGCAGCCGTTGCCCCGGAGATGGCCACCAACCCTTTCCAGACCAATGGCAGAGCTCCAGCTGCAGGTGTGTGTGTGTGCATTTTAAGTTTAGTGTATTTGATGCCACATTTTTTTCTTAGGCATTTGTGTTGCATTGATGTAACCCAGTTACATTGCCAAGTAGCTTTGTGATTTGCCAAAGTGTATAGAATTTACTCCTCCTTGTGTTTGTATGTGTGTGTGTACACATTCTGCGTGTGTCTTGTAGCCTCATTTGGCACCGGCTCTATGAGCATGCCCGCCGGCTTTGGGAATGCGTCTTCCTACTGCCTCCCGACCAGTTTCAGTGGAAACTTCCAGCAGCAATTCCCTGGCCAGGCTCCCATCCCTTACACTCAACCTGGGGCCTACCACCCTCAGTCTAATGGTTAGTTGCCTTCCGCATCCCTCTGTCCTCCTACCCTGTTCCACCTGACTGTGCAGTACCTGTCAGAGATTAAGGTCACATGCTGCATTTTCCTTGGCATGAATTGTATGTAATCTTTATCTACATGATGACTATCTGCATGGGGAATTGCATTTAAGTCTTGCTGCAGTGTGACTTGTCAGTGGCAGCTACTGCACAGCGATAGAAGGTTGCATTCAGGGTACAAAGCTTTAGGGTACTACTCTGTACAAATCTCTGGACCAGAAACACAATGAACAAATCTGACATCACTCATAAGGCTCTGTTCACACCTGAATGCAATCTGACACGCTAAGGTTTGGCTCTCTTGTTATTTTTCTTTCTCCTCTCATAATTTAGTTAATTATATATGCATTTTATCTTTGACTCTTTATAGCCTGCTCTTAATGACCTGTTGATGTAACTGTTGCCATTAAATATTATCTCTTATTGCTTAACTGCTAGAGAAAGCGGACTCAACCTGTTGTTCCTCTCCCTGTATCACCCCTAGGCCCTGCATTCCCAGTCTACGGTCAGAACAAGCCCTCCATGACGCCCTTTGGGCAGCCCATGGCTGGCCCTGGCATGTCCAATAATCCATTCATGGTGAGCATGCATTGTCTTTTGTTTTCCCAACTTTTTTAAGACTAAATGAAATAAAGGATGTATTGTGGAATAGGCTATATCAGCTTAAGAAGACATTTGAACTAATTGATTAAACTGAAAACTTTGCTATTTATACCATTTAATATGAAATGTATAAATGTTTTCTGTTGTCTTAAATCTTAATGTCGACTCCCTCACTTTTCAGGCAGGAGCTCCAGCTGGGTCGTTCCCTTCAGGGGGTTCGTCTACCAACCCTTTTCTGTAGCACAGCTCCCCGTTGTCGCCACCAGAGGGCAGCATGCAGCACATATTCAACGCACCAGTTCCCTCATGCAATTAGCGGCAGTACATTTTTTTAAAAAGACTTACGTTTTTCTTTTGTTTTTTTCCCAAAAAAAAAGTTTACAACACTATGAAGGAGTACAAAGGACTTTATTGAAGACTAAGGGACTGTTATGGGGGGAAATGTACTGTTTGGACTATAATACAATACATTATATGCTTTTTATTTTTTGTTTATAACTGTAAGCTCTGTGCATATCATAATTTGTAATCACAATTAAGTACATGTTATGTATAACAAGGACTGAGTTAACAAGGGTGAGTATACACACACCTTGTGGAAAAAAACCCACTGCAAACTATCTACATAGGTAATGGTATACATGTTAAGATTAACAGGGTTCCATCCATCTATGATCTGTGGTTTGAAGCAACCATGATGATGCAAGTATTTAATTTTCAAAAGGGATTTTCTTTTCTTATTTTAGCTTAATTGCTACTATACTGGCACTACAAAATGTGCAAAATATCCTTTATTAACTTACAGATCCAAGTTTTCTAAAACCCAAAGCAACCAAACCCACATCTTTTTATAATAGTGTGAGTGGATGGGACACAGCATCGATCCTGGACTATTAGTCACCCTTTTAAATATTGCCAATATCTGGGAAATTGTAAAAAAGGACTAAGGGGCGAATTTTGGTTTGAAACCAAGGGCAGCTCGTTGAATATGAGGCCAGCAGAGAGATGTTTTAGCCCACCAAGTAAAGGGACAGGTGTGTCTACTAGAGCACAAATGGAAAACCAAGAAGTGCAGCCATTAAGAGGATTTTACAGAACCCTACCTGAACTATAAAACACTTACATTTGTTAAATATACTCTAATTTACCTCTCCTGTTGGTTGAAGATGTCCGAGAAGCAAATTTCAGATATTCACTATATTTTACAAATATGGTACAGGCATAAGAAAAGACTCTTAAGAAAGCTTCAGGGTTGTTGGTGTGACCCAGATTGGGTTGCCTTAAAACACTTAGTTATTCACATGGTTGCCAGTGACTTATCTAACCTCTTGACAGGGAATGAAAGGTTTGCCAGACCCTGCCTTGGCAAAAAAAAAAATTACATTTGAAAGCAAAATATTTATGAAATGTTAGTTATGTTGTATTCACCACACTCCTTTCACATCTGTCTTCTTCTTTGCCTTCTAATTAAAGCACTTTTGGAGTGAAGAACAGGATGAGGAGAGAAATTGTGATCTACCTTCAATTTGATTTAAGATGAGGCAAGGGACAAGAACAGATTAATTTAGGGATTATTACATTACTGGATCAGCCTGGGACTCGGGAGAACCAGGGTCTCTATTGTGCCACCAATGACTAACAATGAATTTGACTATGTGTTTCTTGTCTATACAAGAATAGGTAAGTAAATGTGTACATATATAAATATATGTATAAATAAATTAAAAGATTTTTAACTACAGTTTGGAGTTTGTGTTTCAAAGTATTTAATGTTTATTCTAACAGAGTGCAAGTTAATTAGTTACACCCAGCTAAAACTACACTGATACAGCAGCTGTGTAATGAATCCTCCTTTATGGTAGGAAAAATGGTCATTTTTCAGTCTAACGTTTAGCTGAAAGGTTATTCCTAATATCTTGTCCATCTAGTTTCTATCAATAAGAGTAGGCTTAAATATTAGCATCCTCTGTTTAATACTACCACAAACTAAGGTTCCCAAAGAAACATAAATACAAAACTAACAAAACTAAGCCTTCATATTGAACATGATTATGTATCTGTGCATTGTAGATTTTAATCATAATGTCTATTATTTCACAAACTAGTTAACCATGTCCTGTTCATTATTGTGATACACACAGTTTCCTTAATATAAATTATATATATATTATATTATAAACTATAAAGCTATAAACGTTTCATTTGGTTAAAGAAAGCCTTGTTGCCATGACAACGCGTAAACGTTGACATGGCGTCTCTTTTACCAGACCCGCTGTTTGAAACCTCTGGACGGGGTCCTGCACCCAATAACAATTTTTATTCTTTTGCTGTCACCAAGTCAGAGGTAAGTATTTATATTTGATATCAGAGCTGGTAGTACTCTGGGTTTAATAGCGTTGCTACGTTATAGCGTTACAGCTAACGATAGCTGGTGAACATTTAACGCCATTTCTGTTTTGCTGCGAGCCTTAATAAGTTAGCTCTACTCCTGAAATGTGTTCAGTGGTGCTTTTAATAGACTAAACAATGAGAAGTAGAATAAGATGGGGGGAAAAACAAAATGAATGTACACTGGCCGTTTACACACGTAAGTTAACCTGGAACTGAAGTTTAACGTTAGTATAAATCAGTGTTTCGTTAACGGGTAGCGTTGCTGTTAACGTTAATTAAGTTGCTGTTTTACATTTCCTTTGTCGTTATTAGCGTTAAATGTGACTCTAAATGTGTGATGATGATTTCTAACGCCAGTGCTCTTTTGAATGGACATTAACAGGTGATCTGGAGATGGTGGAAGATCTCTGTGAGAGCTGTAGACAGGAACTCCAAGCCGGGGGAGACGAAGGAGTCTCACCAGGACTTCTTGGATGACACTGGGCTGCAGAGTAAGGACTTAAACTTCCCAAACATTTAATCTGGCACTTGAATCCACCTCTATTAAGGGAAGGAAGGTGCAGTGGAAAGTTTTAGCTGTAACTTATAACTGAAGAGGTTAATAGGGCTTTGTCATAGATTATATTTTGACATGTCATAACAGGCAAAGCACAGATGTAGAAAATGAAATTAATGAATTAATGAGGTTGAATTTCATTTAGCTGCTT